GAGGGGACCCTTCTTAAGAGAGAATGATGAGATTTCCTGGGAAGAGAGTGAGCCAGTTTTGCCTTTTATCACCTTTATAGGACTTATTGTTTTAAACCTCTCAATGGTATACAGGATAACTATTGCCAGTTTATATTTCACAAGAGATGAAACTTGAGCAAGTTGCCCATGGGTCATACATGTATTAAATGGCAGAGGCAAGGTTTGCATCCAAGTTTAATCCCAAAGCCACAAGTTTCCCTGACTGAAATGTTTTCTGGGACAGACATATCTGGGACTACACTGGCTTCTGGCTTGGGGATTTGCAAATTACAGAAATTACTGCGTAACTGAAGAGAAGAATCTTGGAAGAGAAGGACTTTGAGGTCTGAGAAGAAGGGACTGAGGCTGCCAAGGCCTCGAGCAATGGGAAGGATACAGTTTCTCCCTTGGGTTCCTGCCTTTAAATGCATCCATTTTTGTCCTTTCCTAAGCTCCCTTCGTCTTACAGCCCCTTCTTCCAGAGATGGAGCATTTTGCCTTCCCTTCCGAGCACATTCCTATCCCCTCAGACTGCATTGCAGCAGCCCCTTCTCTTCCTTTACCTTCAGCCCTCTTATTCGCCTCCTGCGTGACCTTCTCTAAAACCCTTTCCTTGCAGAACGGAATGGCTTCCTGGCTCCCAGCCAAAACCAAAATAGTCTGCCTGGGCTCTGTTTATCTGTTCCGTGCTCTGCCAGAATTGGGAGCGTCACCGCAAAGCTTCAATTCTCTTGAATTTGGAAGAAACAATACTCAGGCTGGTGCTTAGTAAATGGCAAAATACTTGCCTTAAAGAAAAAAATTGAGGACAATAATGTACAAGTTTAAAAATATGAATATATTAATACAACAAGACATTATACAACTGTATCAAAGAATGAGATAGAACTAAAAGTGTCTATAATGGAGAGAAGTGTGTCTGTATAGAGAGAAACAAAAAGCTATGGATCACAAACATCAGAAGCTACCCGTGCATGTGCTGCTCGTAAGATGACTCAGACAATGATTTAGCAGAGGTGACTTCAGCTTACCCAAGGACTCAGGCTGCCTTTTGTTGTGAACTGAATCATGTTAAAAATGCGTGCCAACTTGGCCATTTTGTGATCTGATGTAATTATCCTATGTATTGTAAATCTGCACTTCTTTGATAATGAGGCAGGATTAGTGGCAATTATGTTAATGAGGGAGGATAGCTTTCCAGGATTAGGTTGTAAAATACAGAAGAGATTAAAGGGAGGAGTAGAGAGCAGAAGGCACTTAGCACAAAGAAGAGAGGTGACCAGACACAATGGAGATGTTAAAGGGACACTGAACTCACAGGTATTAAAAGAGACAAGAAACATTCCTCAGAGTCAACAGAGAGAAAAAGGCTTCCCTTAAAGCTGGAGCTCTGGATCCAGACTTCTAACTTCCTACCCTGTGGAGGAATACATTTCTGTTTGTTAAATCTGTCTACTTTTGTTATGAAAGCACTAGATCATTAAGAAGGAGCTCTGATGGCTTTGGAGTAAGGAGTTACGCTGCCAACCCAAAGACAGGTGGTTTGAATCCAGCAGCTGCTGCAGGGGAGCAACTTTGGCAAGACCCCTTCCAACTAGAAGGATGAACTTGGTGTATCCATTTATCACCCCATCCATTAGGCACTGAAATTTTATACATTACCTCCACAATGAGATATTTTTTAGCCCAAGTACTATTAGCTGGATCTGGAATTTCTCTGCTGCACCACTGAGGCCTGAGGGCGGACAGGAGAAGAAATAACCTGCAGATTTTTTTTTTAAAAAGGATATCTGGTTAAATATGTATGGCTGGCATGCAAACGCAGATTATTAATGCTATAGTTCTTGTTTCTGTATGCAAATAAATAAAATATAAACACCAAGGAGACTAAAAAAGATACTAACGGAGACAGACGATGAATTCTCCAAGGCTAGAGTCGTTTACTTGACATAGAAAGTTGTAGTATAGTCACTTGGGATTTGCTAAATAAACTGTGGAACTTTCACTCCTTGTAGTGTTTAGCTGGCACCACTCATTCATTCAACTCTTTCATTGATTGAACCCTTAGATATGGACTATCACAGTTCCACATGTTATGGATAGAAGAGATGAGAGATGGCCCTGTCATAGGGAGACTTACTGTTTATCTATTTAGAATGTGTGTGTGTGTGTGGGGGGGGTGTTTACAAAGTGTTTATAATGGCAGAGAAATGATTGTGCTAAAAGTTAAGCAAAACAAAACAACAAACAAATATAGTATACATAGTTGGAATATACTATGTAAAAGAAGACAAAAAAATATCTTAAGGAAATAACTCCAAGCTGTTCGCAACACTATGATTAGTTATAGGAGGACATATAGGTCCTTTCTGTGAGTCTTTGAAAATATCTTGAAATGAATATAAAAACCGCAAAAACCAAACCCACTGCTGTGGAGCCAGTTCTGACTGATAGCCAGCCTTCACTGGGTTTCTGAGGCTGTAAACTTCTACTGGAGGAGACTGGATTTGAACCACACCTTTTGGTTAGCACAGCCCAACATGTAAGGCACTACATAGCTTTTGTAATGTGGAAGGAAAAAAGTTCTAAAAATGTTTCTTATAAATGCTTTTGACTTAAATATTTGAACATCTCTATCTGTTAAAAACTCAAGACCAGTATTGGAATTTGATATTTAAGAATAGCAATAAGCTCTTGTAAATTTATACATTACTTGCTAATATTACATTTATTATAGCTCTTGTTATTATTACAGCTCTTGTTATTATTACAGCTCTTGTTATTATTACAGCTCTTGTTATTATTACAACTCTTGTTATTATTACACATATTATAGAGTGTTCCTTGGAGGCAAAGATGATGACATACTTTGGCCATGTTGCTAGGAGAGGCTATTCTTGAAGTAAGATAACATGCTTTGAAAGGTGGAGAGATGGCAAAAAAGAGGAAGACCCTCAACCAGGTGGATTGACACAGTGACTGCAGCAATGGGATTGAGTGTGTCAGAGATGGTGAGGATGCGACAGGAAAGAAGAAGCTTCAGAACTTTTGTCTTAGGGTCGCTATGATTTGTGCTTCTAACAAGAAAAGTAAAAATGAATTGGAGACTCTTGAAGCCAGAAACATAGTCATAGGACACATTTCTCTCCAAATGTATGTGTAAGAGCAGAGGGACCTGTCATCTAGTATAGGACATGGTGATGAGGACCCTATTTATGCCACCCTATTTATGGCGCAACAAAAGAAACTGGATCTCTAAATGAATGTGTCGGGAGTGCTGGTAGAGGTAAGGAGTCATGCTACTGACCCAAAGGCAAGTTCAAATCCACCAGCTGCTCCTTGGGAAAAAGATGGACCATCTTCTCTTATGCTATGTACAGCCTCGGAAAAGGCACTAGAGAGACAACTGTGAGTTTGTTACAACTCGACAACACTTAAAAACAACAAATGAATGTGTGCAGCTGAGTTGCCGCCAAAGCGGGATGACTTTTTTTAGAACTATTTATTACACAGGAAGGAAACATCTGTTTTATTTAAGCCACTGCAACTTTGATGTCTCTTTGTTATAGCATCTTAACCCTCATCCTAACTACTACTAATTCATACCCAGAGGGGGACGCATGTGTTCTTGGCGGACTGCTTTTGAGTTATAGTTTTAAATATCTAACCAGATAGAGTTGTTTTTTGAAGCAGCTGTCATATAATGGGCTTTCACTAAATCTGGACTATTTTAGAGAAATTCAAAGACCAGATGAATGACTTTGGGCTTGTTTAATATGTATGACCTGGTCTGTTATCTTAAAAAGCATTTGAAAAACAGCTAACTCATTAAAAACAGAGATAAATATTTTGCTTATGAAAGAACTCATTTTTACTACAGGAATCTTTGCAAATGCAGTTAAATCTATCTAAAATAGTTTATTAACTTATCCCTGTTGTAATCATCATTGACATTTTGGTGTATTTTCTTGGGACAAAAAATAACCAACTAAATATATGCTTTACTGTTGAGTTGATTCCAACTTATAGCAAGCCCATGCCTTTAAAAGTAGAACTACTTCATAGGTTGGTTTTTTTTTTTCACTTTGCTTTGCTTTTCAATAATCTTTATAGAATCAGATAACAAGGTACCTTTGGGTGAGTTTAAACTGTCAACCTAGGACTTAGTATCAGATGCAATTTGTGCCACCCAAAGACCCATCCTTGAGACCAAGAGCCAGAATTCCTCCCAATACCCATTTTTATTTCTTCCTTAGGAAAAGAACCCTGACTTTGGAGGTGAAAATGAGCCCAGTTAAAAGAACACATTTTACGCTTCCCTTGCCTCCTCAAATACTGGACAATAAGATGCAACCAAAAGTCATAAATAACTTCTTGAAGACTTCTTAAGGGAAATACTGGCACCTTTCTTTTCTTTCCATAGTTGCAGTTTCTGTAGCCATTAGACCATGAGGTAAACTTGAGGATGGAGGCCAGTGTCAGCACGGTGACTGTGAAACTAGCACATTAGCCCTTTAACAGAACTTACTTCTTTTATTTAAGTGAGAAACTGTTAGCTAGTTTAGACCATTTTAAAGTGAACTTGGCTCTTATATGCAGCCCACTTACTGCTAGCTAACAGACCCTTTGTAAGCGCATGGGTAGTGTATATATATACTTTTTAAACAAAATCCTTTTGTTTTACAACTCACTTTATTATTCTTTTTTTTTTTTTTTCAAACAACACATCACAGCAAATATCTTTATATTCCACTTAATTGCTATAACAGGGTATTTGTTATTGTTTATTAAAGCAATCCAAAATAATTGGACATTCAAGTTCTAATATTTTCTTTCATGAACAATATTTCAGTGAACATATATGACATATATCTGCATATATCTACCTATAATATATTTATCTGCATATATCTATAATATACATAGAATACATTTTTCCTGAAGAATTGCTAGGTCTAAAGGTGTAAAATTATAAAACCTTTTGTTTGCAGGGGGAGGTTGAATAAATTTACTTTCCCAAGAGCAATACATGAAAGTGTTCATTTCTCTGACCCTTACCAGGGGCTATTATTGTTTAAAAGTGTATATTTACCATACTGGCAAGTGTAACCAACTCACTTTTGCCGGAAGGAATGCCTTGAGAACATGCCCACGAGGATGACAGCGATACAAATGCTTGGTGCCACAAACACATTCCAATTGGTTTTACCTAGAAAGTTAGCAGATCCTGAGACTGAGTTCTTGTCAATGAGCATTTCAAAATATTGAGTTTTGCGTGAACCCCTGAACCCTGTCCACAGTTTCCAGGTGGCTGGATTCAGGAAGTAGGCCAACTAACTTATGTCCATTCAGTGGTCCTAAGGGTGATCATTCGGTGGCTCTCAGTGAGGAGGGATTGAAGAAAATGGGATGTAGTATTCAAAACACTGGTTGTGAGTTGAGAGCTCTGAGTTCTAGTCTAACTGATGGGCAATCTTTGGACTTTAGTTTCATGGTCTAAAAAACATGAATGCCTAGTGGCAAGGAGCTGCAACTACAATCCCAGAGGTGCACGGTTCGAATCCACCAGATGCTCTGCTGGGGAAGGAGGGGCAGTTAGATCTGATTTGACGGTACACGCACACAAAAATTAAAAAAAAAACCAAACAACACACCAAAACAAAACATGAATGGTGATGTCTGCCTTGTGGGGAGTCGTGAGGGTGGGAGATGGCGTATTTAAGGCACACAGAACACCTGAACTTAGGAAGCCCTCCAGAAATAGTAACTATTAACTTTATCAAACCACTGAAGAGAGATCTTCTATCTAACTAAGGTCTTAGAAGTTATTCTTGCTCCTTTCTGTGAAAAGAGCTACTACAGTTTGCTACTTATTGTAATCCATCATTAATTCATCCAATATTTACTGGATACGTACTCAGTCCAGTCAGGTGCTGGCTGGGATACAAAGATGAATAGAAATTAGGCTCTTCTAGCTTGAGAAGTCACAAAAAGAGTAGGAGACAGATGTGTAAACACATAATCCATAAACTGTAATACCAGAGAATACATGTGAAATCAGACATGAGAAATGCAGTGCAGCGGAGAACAGCATGGGAAACTGCCTCATGAGCACGTCTGAAAGACCTCCCAAAAGACAATGCCGGACGTGTAGAGATGGCAAATGGAGAGGAGTCAGCTAAGTGGACAGGCTTGGGAAGGGCAGACTAGAAAAGAAGACTACCCAGAGGCATGGAAGGAATACAGCAGGAAAGTGTTATTGTGTTAGTGCACAGAATGATGGGGTCTGTGACTGGGGACAAAGCCAGCTCATGTAGGGCCTGGTAACTATGGAGTTTGAAGTCCAGCTTGAAGGCCTTTGGGGAATTGCTAGGCATTACAGCAAGAAGGGGAATATTAGGACGTTCTTATAGAACGATTCTTCTTGTTGAATAGAGTATCTGGGAGAGGGGGTGTAGTAAGGGAGGATCTAAAACCAGTTAACCCATGTAAGAGGCGTGTTGACTGGGGAGTTAATGAAGGCAGCCTTGTTAACGCCCTTACAATTAGAAGAACGTGACATTTTTCAGCATCTACTTTCATTCCTGGTCCGATGGGACATGTTTGGAGGACCACTTGCAAAAGAAGCTATGTTATTAATTCTCATTACTTGCTCACAAATTAACCTTCAGGGGTACTGAGAAGAAGATGGAAAGAGCGAGCCAGTTTCTCCGGCATAGACCCAGCATAGAGCAAGATCCTGGGGGATCAACCTGATGCTCCATGTCACCAAGTAAGAGCATTTGTTTGCTTCTTGGAACAGATGCATGCCAGCTTTGCCAAAGAGAACAGTGCTAACTTAGCCACAGGAGGGGAGCCCACGGCGGCTGTGTCACTTAGTCATATACTCAGTTAATTTGATTTATATAACTGGAATCTCAGCTTGATGACCAGTTTTGCCAATTAACACTTCTGTGACCTCGGGTAATCTTCCTGTACCTTGGTTCCTTCATTTGTGAAAAGGTGTAATTTTCCCTCCATTTTTTTTTTTTTTTTTTCATTTTCTATTGCCTGCCTAGCAGCAAGGCCAGACACTTTACATGGTGGTTAGAAGGATGAAATGATCAAAAGTGTGCATAGTACTTGACACAATGACTGGTGTGTTATAACCACCTGCAGTGCAATTGCTTCTGTTGTGTTAGTGTTTGTCTCATCACTCATTAAACATTTTATGAGCATGTAGTGGGCCCTGCTCTAGGACTTGGGGATAGAAGGAAACAGGCATTAGTCTACCATACTGGAGTCAGTTAGACATGGGGGTCTGTTGTAGAAGTGAATCATGAAGAAAATATGGAGGTGATTTGGAAACATTTCCAGGGAGATTTAGAAAATAAGTAGACACACTCTTTAAACATGTTAACACTGTCCAGGGACCAAAAAACACACCAGAAAAAACAGACATGTAGCAGCAAGAAAGTAATTAGTGAGTTAAAGAAAATCCGATCATCTCTATGTTAAATGTGGTGGGAGTACACAATTGGAATCCAGGGTGGGCTTGCACCTCTACGGGTGGTCTGTTACCTTGCAGGCAGAATTCCTTCTCATTTCCTCTGGGGCTCTCACCAGCAGCTGTTAGAGCTGTCATCCACAGGACGTATGTCACTCTGGGCTGCAGACTGTTTATGGAGTGTGAATTTTCGGATATTGTATAGGGAATTACTAGTAGGAGAATAAAGACAAAGGAAGAAAGGCACATATTTAAGAAAATGCTTGACTGCAGGCTTTTATTCATTTTTATTTTTAATCCTTCCTGTAATTTGAAAAGGAAAAACCAAGTGCATTGCATTGCTATTCTAAAAACCTCTCATTCTGCAGTATTTAAAGCTAATTTGTTCACTGCTATCAAGTAGGAACTGACTCATAGCTAACCCTTCACCATGTTCCCAAGGCTCTAAATCTTAGATGGAGACTTCCCATCCTTCTTTGGAAAAGCTGCTGGTGAATAAGAATGCCAGAGAAGTGTGGCCTTTGGAAGTGTGGCATGACAACTCCCTATGGACTATATCACCATAGCAAAATGTTAATGCTTTTTATATTGTGTATCATCAGGGTCAGGTTGGAATTGACTCATAGATGACCCTGCAATGGGTTTTCAGAGGCAGTAAATCTCATAGGATGAAGTACCCCATGGTGGATTTGAACCACATGCCTTTGGGTTGGCAGCGCAACTCTACCATGAAACCACCAAAATGTTATTGTAGTTTTAATTGTTGTTAGACATTGTTGAATCAAGTACGGTTCACAGTAATCTTATGAACAATAGATCTAAACCCTGTCCTATCCTCTACAATCCTCATCATCTCTAACACACTGAGTCTATTGCTGCAGTCACTGTGTCACTCTGTCTTGTTGGAGGTCTTCTTCTCTTTCAGTGACGCTCTACTTTTCCAAGCACAATGCCCCTCTCCAAGGAATAGCCTCTCCTAGCAATATATAAAAAATGTGAGAGATGAATCTTTGCCAGCTTTGCCTCTAAGGAGTAGACTGGCTGCACTTCTCCCAAGATATATCTGTTTGTTCTTTTGGCAGTCCATGGGATATTCAGTACACTTCTCCAGCATCACAACAGAATCGCATCATTTCTTCTTCTGTCGCCCTTATTCTGCCTCATCAAGTCCAGCCTCCCAAATGATCTGTTCTGCATATAAATTGAAAAGATATGGAGACAGGATGCATTCCTGACACACTCCTTTCCTGATTTTGAACCATGTACTGTTGCCCTGCTCTGTTTAACCGTTGTTTCCTGGTCTAAGTTTAGGTTTTGCACGAGCACAGTTAAGTTTTCTGTGATTCCACTCTTCTCAATGTTAGCCATGATTTGTTGTGATGCACAGTCAGATGATTTTGCATAGTCAATGAAACATAGATAGACATTCCTTTAGTACTCACTGCTTTAAGCCAAGATCCATCTGACATGGGCTATGATGTCCCTAGCGCCATGAACTCTTCTAAATCCAGCTTGCACTTCTCTGTTGATGTACTGTGAGGCTAGACTTTATGAGGAGGAATGTGGCATCAGGATTGGAGAAAGATTCTTTAACAACCTGTGCTATGCAGATGACACAACTTTGCTTGGTGAAACTGAGGAGGACCTAAAGTGTTTGCTGAAGAAGCTCAAGGACTGAAATCTTTAATATGGAAACTTGATGTTGAAACTCAACATCAAGAAGACAAAGATCCTCATCACTGGACCAATTGGCAGCACCATGATAGATGGAAAAGAAATTGAAATTGTAAATAGTTTCAGCTTGCTCAATTCCACAATCAACATTCTTGACAATAGCAGTCAGGAAGTCAAAAGGTTAATTGCATTAGGAAAAACTGCTGTCAGGGACCTCTCCAGGGTGCTTAAAAGCCACAATGCTAGTCTAGAGGCTAAGGTGCTCCTGATCCAGGACATGGTCTTTGCAATTGCTTCCTATGCATCAGAGAGGTGGGCAGTGACTAAGAATGGTAGAAGAATAACTGATGCCTTTGAGTTGTGGTGCTGGAGAAGAGTGTTGAACATATGGCCAAAAGAACAAACAGATCTGTCTTGGAGAAGGTGAAACCAGTCTGTTCATTGGAAGCAAGGATTTTGAAGCTCAACCTCACATACTTTGGGCATGTTGCCAGGAGAGACCAATCCTTGCAGAAGGACATGATGCTTGGAAGGGTGGAGGGACAATGCAGTAGAGGAAGACCTTGGATAAGATAAATTGACAGTAACTGTGGTTATGGAGGCAGGTACATTAGAGATAGTGAGATTGGCTTAAGATAGGACTGGGTTCAGTGGTTTTGTGAATAGGGGCACTATGAATTGCAGGCAACTTGACAGACATAATAACAACAACAACACCATCCTTATTGATTTTCCAGCTCTCAGATGCTTACGTGATTGAAAAGACAAGGACATAAATTAAGCACACATCTTAGTCTTTTAACTAACATTATTTTTCCTCAGCACTTTGGAGAGGGTTCCGATAGCAGACTTGCCCAATGTAATAAGTCATTTGATCTCCTAACTGCTGCTACCAACAGTGTTGATTGTTGATCCACACATGATCAAATAATTGAGAGTTTCAATCCTTTCTTCACCTATCATGATGCTGCCTATTGGCCCAGTGGTGAAAGCTTTGTTTTCTTGATTTTGAGATATAATCCATACCAAAAGCTTTATTTAGTCCTTGATCTTCTACAGCAAGCATTTCAAGTCCTTAGATTCTCATCACTGGACCAATTGGCAGCATCAGGGTGGATGGTGAAGAGATTGAGATTGTACACAGCTTTAGTTTGCTTGGCTCCATAGTCAACAGTCTTGGCACCAGCAGCCAGGAAATTAAAAGGCGCATTGCCATGGGAAAGTCTGCTGTTAGGGACCTCTCCAAAGTACTGAAGAGCAATGGTGTCTCTCTGGAGACTAAGGTGCGTCTGATACAGGCTATGGTCTTCGCAATCACTTGTTGTGCATCAGAGAGTTGGACAATGACCAAGGAGGATAAAAGGAGAATTGATGCCTTTGAGCTGTGGCGCTGGAAAAGAGTATTGAGAATACCATGGACTGCTAGGAAAACAAACAAATTTGTCCTGGAAAGGGTTAAACCGGGTGGCTCCTTGGAGGCAAGGATTCTGAGGCTCCATCTAACATACTTTGGACATGTTGTGAGGAGAGACCGGTCCTTGGAGAGGGACATCATGCTTGGGAGGGTGGAGGGACAGCGCAGAAGAGGAAGGCCCTCTATGAGGTGGACTGATTCGGTGACTGGGATAATTGGGATGGGAGTGTCAGAGACAGTGCGATTGGCACAGTTTAGAGCAGAGTTTACGGCTGTTGTACATAGGGTCGCTATGAGTCGCAAGTGATTCGATGGCACATAACAACAACAACAACCACACTTTCAGCAAGCAAGGTTGTTTCATCTACATAATTCATGTTGTTAATGAGTCTTCCTCCAATCCAGATGCCACACTGCTTTTCATAGAGTCTAGTTTCACAAATTATTTGCTTAGCATATAGATTGAATGGGTATACATTCAAAAGAAAGGATACATCCCTGATACCCACACTTCCTGATTTTAAACAATGCAGTGTTCTGTTTCATTTGGACATAAGCTTTAAGAAAAGGACAGATCAAGAATATAAAGAAAAACATTATAATGAAATGTGCAGAGAGCGGAGTCAGAATGAAAAGGCAAGACCTTGTTTGGTATTTCTCAAGCTGAAAGAACTAAAACACAAATTCAACCCTCAAGTTGCAATACTGACAGATGCTATGGACAAAATCTTGAATGGTCCAGAAATGAAGGGGAAAAAAAGAAGGAATACCGCAAGTCACTATACCAAAAAAACTGATTGACACTGAAAAATTTGAGGAAGAACAAGAGAAAGAACCAACAGAAATGAAGACAGAAGTGCAAACGGCACTCACAAATAAGGCACCAGGAATCAATTGGATGCCAAGTGATGTGTTTGAACTGACAGAAGCACCCCGAACGGGCTCACCAGTCTCTACTGGGATACTTGGAGAATAGCTGTCTGTACCACTGATTGGAAGAGATCGATATTTGTTCCCATTCCCAAGAAAGGTGATTCAGCAGAAGGTGGAAATTGTTGAACAATATTATTAATATCATATGCAAGCAAAATATTGCTGAAGACCACCCAATCAGCATACACAAAATAAGACAAAAAACTTATCCTGAGCAATAAAATATCTTTTAAACAACAACAACAAAAATTGCTAGGATAGTTCATTGACAGGGAACTTCCAGACATTCAAGTGAGCTTTAGAAGAGGTTGTGGCATCAAGGATATCATTGCTGATGTCAGATGAAGCCTGGATAAATGCCAAAAGAATGTCAATTTATGCTTCATTGACTATGCAAAGGCAATTTGACTGTGTGGATCATAACAGGTTATGGCTGACATTAAGAACAATGGGAATCCCAGAACATTTAATTGTGTTCATGTGAAAGGCTTTATTTGTTGTTGTTGTTGTTATGTGCCATCGAGTCGCTTGCAACTCATAGTGATCCTATGTACAATAGCTCTGAGCCCTGCTCTATCCTGAGCCAATCTTATTGTCTCTGACACACTTACGCCTAGTACCCTAGTCACTGAGTCAATCCATCTCATCCAGGATCTTCCTCTCCTGTGCTGTCCCTCTACCCTCCCAAGAATGATGACCTAGTTAAAATAAAAACCAAATTTATTGCTATCAAGTTCATTTCAACATATGGTAACCTACTGAGTTTCCAATGTTGCAAATCTTTAAGGCATAAGTCTTCCCATATTTCCCCTTCAGATTGACTGATGGTTTGAACTACTGACCCTTTGCCAGCGGTGCAAAATGTCATCTACTATGTCACTAGGTCTCTTTTAATAGACTCTAGACATTCCATAGCTCTTCAGACAAATTAAAAACTATCTTCTCTTGGGTAAAGTCTTTTGAATACAGTCATTATGGTGCAGTGGTTAAAAGCACTCAACTGCTAACTGAAAAGTGAGCAGTTTGAATCCATCAGCTCCTCCAACGGAGACAGATGCAGGAGTCTGCCCCTGCTCTGTAAAGATTCAATTCAGAGCTTACTTCACTGTTGCTGAACTGGAGCCGACTCATAGCTGACTCTCAGGCAGATTTCCCAGGTCTTAAATCACCTAGGAGATTAACCATCTTTCT